ATTGAAATTCAAGTATTTGCAATGGTTTACAACAGATTGCTTAACCTTTTCCAAAAACTCAAAAATATCGATGAATCCAAAAGTAAACGCACAAAAACATGACATTAAATAATATCTGCTTGTCATTGAGTGTAATGAGAATTTGATTTCAGACCAACAAGCAGAAATTCTAACTCCAATAATCAGTTTTTGTACCCATGTGGCACAAAGAACAAATAATTAATCAAATGGTTGCAAATACTTCTGACCTCAAGTGATTCTGTAGATTTTAAAGCCCTTCTGTACGCAGAGTACTTTCTTCTTTTTAGTCAAAACCAAAAAGCTGTCAGAGCACGTCAAGGACAAGGCAGTACATCTGGACAAGACTGGACTGGCTTATAAGAGCGTCAGTCCTCTCTCTGGAGCTCAAAGCAAGATCCTTACTCACTAAATAACCATGAGAACATTTCAGACCTGTCCAAAAATATTTGCTCGTAAAACCATCTTCACCAAGAAAACGATTGGAAACACTCGGATGCTGACGCTTTGCAACGATGTCACTACGTCATCATTCGAGGCGCCATGATGGACGTCTGAAGTGAGGGACGGGAGAATTGAACAGAGCGACTGAAATTGTTTTCCAAAGTTGTTTTTGCCAGTTTATTCATGGCTTCTACTTGTTGGAGTCGAGCTAATTTGTCTGTGAACGTAACACACCTGGTTGAGGCTCATAGACGGTGATATTTACAAAAGTTGGACATAGCTAGCTTAGAAACCGACCCATACCTCCTCCCTCCTGGTGTGTTGATCAAATTACCGACTCTGCCTGAATTCACAGCAGATGATTCGTATCACTATGTCATAAACGTCGCTTCCCTTTACACCGGAGCAGCATTAAAAACGTACAAAAGACGAGATGCTAACCAGTTTTTTTCGTACATGCTAGGCTACATGACGGTGCGGTATTGTTTCCGTGGTTACTGAGACCCCATAAAGCGATATTTGATATCCGTCATGAATACTTCTAAAGTAAATGAACGTTAATCTTCTTACCTTGTAAAAAGTGTTCGCTGCAAATCCGCGGTTACACCGAGGGCTGCCAGTCATTGTGATTAACGGTTGCTGTCCATCACAGCCGTATCTTTCCACGTTAAAAGTTACAAAATAAAATGACAAGTTCGCTTTTCAAATTTGTCTGTTTGTGCAGCCGACCGCGCAGCACCCTGTGAGCATTTTTACTGCGAAATCAACTCGTTAAAAACGATATCAGGTTACCAGATGTGCAATTTTTTTTTTGGCAGGCTTTACAGGAGCGTACTGGTAGCTTTGACGTCCATCATGGCGGAGCGGGAACAGTTTCGAACAGAGTGACGTCACGTGCAAAGGGTCAATATTTGACCAAGTTGATGTAATTACTATAGGACGGTTTTCTAGTAAAACGCGGTTATTAACTGGTTAGGAAAAGGTCCTTATATATATATATATATATATATATAAGGTTTTTTTTATCTTAAATGCAAAATTAACATAGATTTTTGTACAATTTTCCCTAGATTACTGCTTTGAGGAGGTTGTTGGACTTTTTAGAGTCTCCAATTAACGATTAATCGATTACTAAATAAGTTGGCGATTATTTCAATAAATTGATTAATCGATGTGAAATTATTGTTCTAATCCTTAAGTGGTAGAATAAACAATTGAAACACAATAAAACATTTGAGCCGCATTTAGTTGCGTCTACTAGTTTTCAATCTGAATCTTGTGAATTTGTGAAAGATAAACTTACGGCAGTAAGTTGTGTCAACTTGTTATTGTCGAAACTCCCAAGAGTTGAATAAACTAGAGTTTTTAGGTTAGCAATTCAAAAGCTGAAAGAAGAAAAAGAAAAGGAGTGGGAATTATTTCCCAGAATGCTTAGCGGCATGTTTTTGTATCCTGAGATGGAAGTGCGTTACATTGATCTGACTCAGGTTTTAAGGAAAATGTTTATTTTAATGCAAAACTTGAGGATAATGTTCTGTCACACTAAATGTTATTGAGCAGAATTTAATAAAATTCATTATCAGATAAGAAATTTTGCTCATGCAATTTGAAACAAGAAATTAAATCATTTTAAAGTAAAATAAGTCGTTATTTTAACTTGATATTGAGAATGAAATAATAGGGAAATGAGGCTCTTTAATTAGATGAGGGCAGTTTTTTTTCTTGCATTTTGTGTTTGTGAAATAATTATTTGGTTTAAATTGCAGCATTAAGTTAAAACTCACAATACAAATTAATTAACTTTAAAAAATGTTTAGACAACTTGTCTCTTGTTGTTAAATCAACTTCATGAACTTTAATTTCGGAGTTAAAACCAAAACAACTTTCTTGTCGACTTAAATTGCATTTTCAATGCAACGGGTGGACTTGCATTTTCAACTTAAAAAACCTTGAAATGTTTTACAGCGCACCAAGTCCTAATTCCTAAATCAGTTAAAATCCATAAATCTGTTAAGAACTTCCTGATCATTACTCACCTTTTGTCCTCAGTTTGTTTTTCCATAAAGCTGAGGGCATCACAGAGGAGGCTCTGGAGGAGCTGATGCCCCTTCATGACCTCAACCTGAAGTTTCTGTGGGGGAGATTTGTTAGATTAAAGAACAGAAGGACATTCATTCTTCTCTGTCGTTTTAACAAATTAGCTCATGATTACACAGCGAAAAGTTATGGTTCAGAAGTTTGACATAAATAATAGTTATTTGTTCTGAGGCTGAACTTGGAGTTTCCTGAGATAACAACATATTAGCATTTCAATTATTCTGTGCTCTTTCTATAATAACTGAAAACTTGTTGAATGTGCTGGAACAGCCTCTGATTATTGGTAGAAAAACTCAAGAAATGAATGAATTTGTAAGATCTGTCAAACCTGATGGACAGCCAGCATCTCTTTAAGGCTTGAGTGACTCAGATCTTTTCTGCAAAGTGATTCTCGCTGCAGGTGTTCCTGGATCATTTTCACTTTTTCACATTTTTCTTCAAAATCACAGCCGCTTTGAAGCTCATCTTGCAAAACTCTATAAAATAAAATAAAGAGAACATAGACTTTAGAGGCAAACTGTGTCTGTAAGACTGCATTTAAATCCAGATAGGGAAAACAGTTTAATTGTAAAAAACAGGAAATTTATTGTACAGCTCTGGAAAAAATTAAGACTCAATTGCAAACCTGATGGTTATTCCACCAAATATTGATGTCTGAACTCTTCCTGAGTTAAAACATTAGTGTTGTTTCTAAATAAATAAGAAAAATGTTCATTTTACTTAAACATATACCTATAAAAAGCAAAATTAGTAATACTTCTTTGTTTTTCACGCTTTTTACAACTTTATCCATCAAGATGTGGCATTATTACCCTTCCTTTCAGGTTGTGCACAGTTTCATCTGCGGTACATTTTGTTTATCAGAAGATTTTCTAAGACTCTGAAGACACAACACAACCTTTCTTCTATCTGATAAATGTAAAACCAGGAATTATTACATTTGTAACAAGTTGAAGCTCTAATCAAACAGTAAACACACTACAAAGACACAAAACCCTACAATCTATTTTTGGTCTAATTTGTGGTGAAAATATCTTGGTTCACTTGAAATAAGAGAAAACTAACTTACAAGTACATTTTCAGCAAGATACAGGAGCTTGATTTAAGTAAATAATTAAGTAAAACGTTCCAGTTCCACTGGCGCCGTTACCTAGCAACGCCAGCCAAGCCCAGCCCGTCACCTAGCAACCAAGTTCTAGTTCAACTGCCAGATTATTTCATTTGTTAATATCTTACTACACTTGAAATGAGACAAACCAATTTAAAAGTAACTTTTTTTAATTCCTTAATATTTATGAAAAAGTTCTAGTTTTATCTGCAGATAAATTAACTTATAACGTTGAAATGTTTTGTTATAAGTGAAATAATCTGCCAATAGAACTAGTAACTTTCCTGAATATTAAGGAACTATTTACTTAAAACAAGTTCCTCTATCTCGCTAAAATGTTACTTTAAGTTGGTTTGTCTTATTTCAAGTTTACTAAGATATTTGCATGAGAAACTAGACCAAAAATTCTTGGTAAGATTTTGTGTTCTTCAGTACTTAATGCTTTATTCTTTTTAAATTTACATGCCATAATATTTCTTTGGTATAAAATTTTTTGTGAGTTTATATACTTTTGTGTTTTCTGGTAATTTGTCCATTTTTCAAAAATAGTGCATTGTCTCAAACTTTTATCTCCATTGCAGTTTGGATTCTAGATAGCAATAATTACATGTTGTAGATCAAACTGTCTCACTTGTTTTCATCTGTTGCCTTGGTAACGGTTTCTGCCCACAGCCTGCTGAGGGACTGAACTCTCTCCATATCCTCGTTGCTGAGGGTTATGTCGCCACTCGTCTCTTTAACGTCCACCAGTGATGGAGTCATGTCACTGAGATCCAAAAGAACCTGCTGGATTTTAAGATAAAATACAAAATGAGGTTTGTTTGTTGTTGTTGTTTTAGTTAAAGGTATGTAGAAGGGGAGTTTAAAACCTCCAGAGTGTCTGCATCACATGCGCCCCCATGCAGTTTAAAAAGCGAACTCTGCATCTGTTCCTCAAGTGCTTCCAGCTGAGCTTTAAATCGTCTCTCTCGCTCCAAATCCTCCTGAACATTTAGACAATACGTCATATTTAACAACCTCCATGGTAAACAACATGCTTTATGTCTCAAATGTAAAATATCTCACCTCCAGATTTCTCCTTTTTCCCAATATTGCTTGGTTCAGCAGCAGGAAATCGCGACTCAACAACCTGGCTTCTGATTTGATTAAATTTGCAGATGAAGGTTTGAGTCGTCCAAGAAGAGCTTTGGATGCTGCCAGCACATCTCCTGCATCACTTTGCAGCTCATCAGCAGCATCCTGCAACTTCTACATTGTGAAAAGACGAGATAAGCTGAGGAACAGCAGCAGGCTTTTATATGCAGTGTATTGCCACTTTCCACTTATTTCATTCAAGTAAACTGATGCTTTAGTCCTGTGGGAGAAAGCAATTTAGCAGTAAACGTTACAACAAAATGTTTCTTCCACTGTACTTTGGAAGAGAAAGGAACTAAGGAGGTATTTTTTTTCCTTTGGTCAAATGAGCAAAACAACACGTCATCTGGATGTTGTGCAACAGGTTAGAGAGGAGGTCAGGCGCAACGCAGATCTTCAGTCGTATCTCAACAGAAGTACATGCAACGTCGTTCCTTTCCAAGAATAGGAGAGCAGGTATTGAGAAAAACATTTAATTAAATCGGGAACGTAAAGCATGGACTCCCCGAGCCTGCACCTGGAACAGATGAGTCAAGCAGGGAATCTAATGATTACAAAAAAAAAGGAAAAGAGGAAAAAAAAGAAATGCATTTGGAGGCTGAAAAACAGGGTTTGTGAACCTGGTTAAACTCCAGCACTTAAGCTCAGGCTTTCAGTGCTTTATTGTGTATTTTCTTGCCAGTTTTGAGCAGAAAAGCATAAAGACAGATAGAAATGCACTTTGGGTTAACGTACCAGAGGATAATTAGTATCAGGACCAAGTACAGTTTTGTTCTGTGTGAATTTATGACAACAATAATAAATCAAATGTATCTTTAAGGAGACTCCCGGTGTGCAATTTTCTTTTCAAAGGAGACTTATTGCATTTTTTTGCACATTTTCATTCTTCCATTGGGTTTCAACTGCCTCTATAAACACCTCAAGCGCTTTAAACAAAACCTGTTGAGTTTTGTTGGTTAATGTTGGTTGGTGTCTGAAAAATGAGCTGTCTGCCCCGTTACCTAGCAACTCCAACTGAGCGCCAGCTGGTTTCACCGGTGTATGAGCTGTACAATGGCTGCTGGAAAACACAACTGAGTTCATTTGTTGTTGACTCACCATCCAGAAACCACTTGCTGTTGTGCAGGAGGCTCTACTACTGCTTTTCAAAGATGTACTTTTGTGCAATTGTGCATCTGTTTGCAGTAACTTTCACGTGCGAGTGTAAACGTTAAGCTTGGGGCCAGAAGTAGCTCCTTTTGATCCAACCCTTTCATGCAGTGGACAGCTATTTTCTTGCAGATTTTTACTTTATAAATGCACACAGACCACTGAAAGGGACAACAGCACATGATATGATACACTGCCAACTACTGGCCACCTACTGCAACTGCAAGAATTTTTTGTTAATTCCAATATGGCAGACAGACTAAAAAAATTAACGAATATCCAGTCCCTGCTTCTACTTTTGCAGATAAAAAAATATTGGCACCAAGTAATCAATTAAGACTAATACCACTGATATATTTTCCAAAAAAAATTTCTATTTGGAGAAAATTACAACTGGTCATCTAGAAAAAAAAAAATACTTTTTCCCCACCTTTTTTCTTACGCTTTAAAAAAATCAACAACATTCTGGGAAAAAAAAAACATTCTGACAGGAGCTCAAAACTAAAATCTCATTATCTAAGGACGATTTTATGTAAAATATTTGATGAACATGTTTGTGTAACAGGTCACCCATCCTCACCTGTATCATCTTTAAGTCTGAATTTCCTAAATTAATCTCTTCTCCTCTTTCTTGAAAATGACTTTGTTTCAGTTCTGGTTGGTGATAAAGTTGATGAGACTCTGACTCACCTTGACGCAGCAGACTGTGGTTTCTGCATCGTTAGATGAAGAACCTGATAACTCCTCCCACTCATTCCTCAGGTGTTGCAAACGAAGAGAAAAGCGCTCAGACAGATTCGCGTATTCAAGCCAGAGGGAGAAAATCTCTCTGGTGTTTTTATGCTCCTCTTTTATCTCTTGCAGGATTTTCTTCCACCTGATGAGACAAACATAAAGGGACTCAGTGTGTAATAATTATAGGAAGTAACAAAGTTCGAGCAATACGTTTACAAATTAGAAACAAAGAGATAAATGTTAATTTAAAGGCAAATCCTTTGAACAGAATAGGAACTGATTCTATTCTCAAAATAAAATCACTTCATTCTCTTATTAATTCAACTTTATTCTTGTAACACAGTTTATTCTCAAAATATTGTGATTTTATACTCATTATTGTAACTTTACTCTCGTATTATTTCGACTATTTTTATATGATTCTATTCTCAAAATAAAATGACTTTATTCTCATATTGTTCTGACTTTATTCTTGTAATTTTTTTTTATTTTTCTTAGTATAACCTACATATTCTGTTGTAATATCTGACATTTTTGTGAGGAGATTTTATTTTGTGTCCTAATGTTGTCCTAATTGGAGAAGAAATCGTCTCCATCTGCATCAGCCGGTGGGACAAATTTGTATCATTTGGGACACTAAAGGCCCCCGAGCCACACTTTGGACACCCCTACATTATTTGGTAAAATGTTAATCTAAATATTTCCCTCTGCTGACCCATTTCGCTGCTCCTCCACTTCGTCCCTAACGAGCTGCGCCGACACGTCATGCAGCGTCTCCATCAGCGTCCTGCAGGATTTGTCCACGTCCGTCCAGAGCTGCTCTCCGTCTTCCTCCGCCTTCACCTGCAGCTCCTGAGCAAAATGAAAAACACTTTTTCCTTTTAACTCTCGCTCTCTGGAAGTGCATTTACTTCCCTAAAAAGTAATAAAAGAGTTGACAGCTTGAAGTCTGTGAATGCCCACACTCTGCCTGAACCTTTCACATCCGGACTCGGAGGCTTTTAACCGCAGCTACAGCTTGCTGTTCCACACAAACACTAAAGTTTTATGATGCCTTCTTTAATTGTAGCCACTCCGTGTTCTAGACTCTACAGCCACTTGTTTTAAAACTAATAAACTACCATGAATGATTCTGATGATAATATACATTTATGTTTGCTTTTGTAGCTTTAATGTGTTTATGGAGACCAGTTCATTTCTCACCTGCAGGCGGTCTGACTTTCCTTCAGCCTGCTGCAGAGAGAAGAGAGGCGCTCGCTGCTGCTGCTGCAGGGCACAGCGCACCCTAGTGGTCAACAAAGCAACGTCCCCCAGAGCTCCACGGAAACAACTCCACTTCTCCACTGACTGTTCGAGATCCGCTCTGAGATCTTCCATCTGAAAACGGAGCAGAAGTAACAAAATCAGAAACAAATTGGATAGTTTGGTTAATTTTATGTAAAATTCTTTACAGATGTTCCTGTAAGTTTAAAATGTAAAAACACTGCTGGGTTTTTTTTTTTGGAAAAAAGATGGTAACATTATAGTTTTTATGTTTGAATGAAATAAAAGTAAATAAAACATGTTTTCATCTTTAATTGTTTCAGACATGAGGAGATCCAACGATCAGCACAGGAACATGAGATGGTCAACAAACAACTTCATTATATATGTATGTATGTGGATGGATGGATGGATGTGGGTGGGTGGGTGGATGGATGGATGGATGGATGGATGGACGGGCGGATGGATGGACGGGTGGATGGATGGATGGATGGATGGATGGATGGATGGATGGATGGATGGATGGATGGATGGAT